ATAAATTATATTTTTTGGGGGGGAAACCCCAATATCTAGGCAGAATCAGTATTTCAGCACAGGTGTATGTCTGAACATCTCAGTGCTAATTTAGGTTTGCTTAATTTATCCAATTTAACCACAGAGGATCTTGGGTCAGTGCCCCATTCACCAGCTGAGGTTCAATAAAGCGACACTGAGAGTTCTTTTTAGAGCTCACACCCTCAAATCAGACCACAGCAATTTAAATGTTAAGCCTTGACTGCAGCTATGAGAAGTTCTTGGCGATATTTTTTTTAATCAAAAAGCGACATCTAGTGGTGATTTTGTGAATTACATAGATATGTAAGATTCAGATCAAAGAGGTTTTGGTAAATTACAACTATAAATAGGCAGCTAATTGGCCTAAAAATATTGTCTTTTTTTTTCTTTAAGCCAGCCATTTTTCAGTGTTTAGCAGACCAATGTGAAGGCATTACTTTTTAGATTTCATAAAACAAAATTCATGTGATTTGCCTGCTTTTGATTTGCATTTAAACACGTGACCTGTGGAGTACATCAGTGCTGCCAACTGTCGATCTGTTGATGATATTTTTTTCTTTCCTGTTATGAATGTAGTCTTTTACATCATTGGCCACTTCATTAGGTATAGCTGCTACACCAGGTTCAAGTGCTAGTTGATGTTGTATCTAATAAACCAATGACATGGCAGAAGCTCAGTGCCTCAGTGCAGTCAGAAGGGGAGGTTTATAACACTTTGAGTTAGTGATAAAAGTAAAATATAATAAAATAAAACAAAAGTTTGTACGCCTTATGTATGAAAACAGACCCATTCATCGACAGTGTGCCTTATGGTCCGAAAAATACAGTAAATTTATGAATAGATATAATTTATCTCAGGGCTGCAGACAGCTTGTTCCAAAGAACAGGACCACAATAACTAGGAACAGTTAAAAGATCTGCACGTGATTAACTGAGGGGTCTAACTCGGTTGTAAACGGTGAGCAACTCAGCAAAGTATTGTTTGGCCAAACCATTGAGAGGTTTTTTAGCTAGTAAAAATAATTTAAACTTTGAATATGGCATCTGTTGCTGGTGCCAGATGTGCTTTTCTGAGTCTGAGTATTGGTCTGAGTATTTTAGAAACTGCTGGGATTTTCCTGAACAACCATCTCTATGCTTTACAGAGTTATTGGCAGTTTCCTGCAAAAAAAATGGCCAGACTGCTTTGAACTGACAGCAATTTATTTAACCAATCATTATAACAGAATACAGAAGAGCATCTCTGAATGTGCAACATGTACAACATTGAAGCATATGGGCAACAGCAGCAGAAAACCCACATCAGGAGACACTTCAGTCAGTTGAGTCAAACAGTCAGTGGAGAAGTGAAGTTTGGAAAAACATCGCCTGGTCTGATGAGTTTAGATATCTGCTGTCACATTATGGAGGATGGGGTCATAATTTCGATCAAACAACATGAAAGCCTGGATCCATTGTGCCTTGTACCAGTGGTTTAGGTGGTGGTGATGTAATGTTGAGGCCTTGGATTGGAAGAAAGCTGGTATTAAGGCGCCCAAGTTGAGTGTCGTTTAAACAAACAGAGTATTGCTGCTCAGGATTGTCCATTCCTTTATGATCACATCCTCTGATGGCCACTTTCAGTAGAATAATGCACCAGAACTCATTCAATGATGTTTCTTGAACATGATATTAACTTTAAGGTATGCAAATGTACTCCACAGCTACCAGATCTCAAACTAATAGAGTACCTGTGGGATGTGCTGCAACAGTAGGTGGCATAATCAAAAATCCACTGATACATATGATATTCTGTGTCCACCTCATTCATTTTACATTATTTTGCCTCTCAAAATTTGCCTAAGATGCAAATTAGCCTGAATGTTTAATTTTCTTGCCTTAGTCCTGTTAAGGACTGGTGGCTGGTCCAGGGTTCTTACTGCCTGCAACCCTTGGCTAAATAGTTCAGAGGATGAATAAAATGTATGTATAGAGCTCAGTGTAGGGATGAATTACAAAAAGAAGAAGCAATTTTCTGGATAAAACAACATGCAAATTTGCAATTTTTTTAGACAGTAATTAAACAAATGTTTTATTTGGTATTGTTCAACAGTTTCTCCACTTCAGTAACATATACAAAGCACATTGTAGATTTATTTAAACAACACAGTAGTCTATCCCCCAAAATGCCCAGGTCCTTTTATAGAATTAAGGCACATTTTAAAGGCGACAGTACCATAACTTCTTATAAAGCAAAATCAATAAAGTACATGTTGAACATCATCATCTGACATGATGTTCAAACTTCAAGTAAAATAGCTTTGACCTTTTGAACCGACAAGGTTTTGTATATTATATTGATATATTCAGTGGCAGAACACTATTTAGTTTGGTCTTTTTGTAGTCTGAGACACTATTGATGGATATAGTGCTTAACAAATTTATTAGATCACCATCCAATGTAAGGTTTGTGCCACAGCAGCTCTATATTAATAATACTGGTAATTACCAAAATCATTATTTTATGTTTCTTTAATGAATTAAAGAGACTGCATCAATTTTTGCAAGTAGACTTTTCAAATTTTGTGTTTCACAAAAAATAAATAAATAAATAAAAATACAGCTTGTCTTTCAATTATTTTTCAAAATTAAGATGACAATTTATACTCATTTACTTGTATTACTGAACAGAAAAGTTTGTTTTAGTGGTTGAATGTTGTGCTTGATTCTGACTTCTCAGATAAGGTCCAGTTTGTCCGTTCAGATTTGGGTATAAAAGTGTGAATTCAAACTTTGTGAAATTATTTGTGTTTTCTTGTTTTTATGAGAGGTGGTCCAAATAATTTGCTAAGCACTGGGTGTATGTGTACTTCATACATCATTAACTACTGATAAAGTATATGAAATTTACAAACAGAACTTAGGTAAAAAAAACACGGAGTGATACTGTGGTGGATTTTCATCTATAACTTGCCAGCTCTCTTACAACAAGTTGGAATAAGTGCAGTTCTACTAAAACAAGTGCAATTAATGCTAGAGTTCTGTACAGCAGAGTTGAACTTAGACACATTTTACATCTATGTTGGACACTTAGTGTTGCAAGCATCACCCGATTTAAAAAACTGATAGAAACCAACAAGTGGAAACATGGTTAGAGCACCAAGCATTGAACCCAGCTGCACTACAGCTCCACACCACACGAGGGCACTGTGGCCTTCATCCCTCAGGATCACCCCAATGATGACTTTGACATAAGATAGGGTGAGGACAAAGAGTATCCAGGCCAGCACCTGCAACAGAGAACTTGTTAGAATTGTGCATTGAATGACTTACTCTTACTGCTACTACTCTTACTGCTGTAAGTAATAAGTAGGAGCTCAGAATATCCTGGTTGGAGCTTGGTTAGCTTAGTAGCATTCAGTGCGTAGCCGCTTGGTTTCTTATTCAGTTTGGTGACTGAAAAAGTATTTTAGCAGTTAACACCATTTTAGTATTAAGTACTTTTGCTCCGAAAAAGTGTATTAGGAAAGGCACATCTGACAGCAAAGTGGAGGCATAGTTGCCTGTGCAAGTGCACAAAAACAATGTACTCTTTTTGAATGTTTGACTCATTGACTCATTCAATGGACTTTCACAGCTCTTCCATGACAGCATCAAGTAGATGAGACTAAGCTGACTTAACATTATATTGTAAAACCTGTCAGTCACACTACACACCTTAATCACAGGAAATCTTATAAATGCTAAGTGAGTATTGCAAATGGGTGGTGGCTTCATGCTTTTATAAGATGCAAGATAGAGCATGAAGTCTGAAATTTTATTCTGTGTACACAGTAAGTACATGCAAGAAAATAAAGAGTCTTACTATGACTACAGTTCCAGAGGTACTGTGGACCAGCAAAGGACAGGGACTTAGAACAGCCATGCCCATAATGTAGGCTCCAAATCCAGTCCCAAAAATGGTCAAAACTCCCATGAAGACAAGAGACCTGGACAGAAAAGATGTACAAGCTATTGGTGACTTAGAACTTATTTCTTGGATCTATGGTCTTGATTAGTATTTTATAATTATTGTAGTTTTTCTATAGCTCACCTTATTGGTATGAACATGGCGATGAAGCAAGCCACAGGGTTAGCAACAGCTCCCATGGTGGCAGCTAGATGGTAAGCCTTGTTCCCGTAAGGCATGCATGAGTAGGACTGCACTGAAGGCAGCACTGCATTGGTCAGAGCATTGACCCAAGCCAACACTACAAAGATAAAGACCACCTCAAAGATACTATATGTCCCCCTCCCGAAAGAACTCCTAGGTTCCCTCTTGCCAGCCTCCGAGGGGCTGATCATGGGCTTTTGCTCTGGTGTCTGGGCATTCAGAGATAGGCCTTGTTCTTTCTTCTCACGATCAAGTTCCCCACTGAAGTACCGTTCGCTTTTTCTCTCACGAGCCACAGCTGGGTGGTGATTGAGTAGGAGGAAAGCGACCAGACACACGACCATCATTACACTAAGGAATATGAAGAAGACCTGTGCAGAGAATTTAGCAGGCTGGTAGATGGCCTGTAGCATTCCATTGTCAGTTATGTTGGAATTATTAGATAAAGTGGCATTTTCACAGTGAACTACACCAACGCCTTGAATAAGTGCCACCACTGCAGGCACGAGACCACTGAGGCCCTCACCTGCAAAATACGTTGTGAGATATTGTGGACGCAGCCGCATCATGAAAGGAAGAAAGGTAACAGATGAGGTGCAGTCCACCACAGATAGCAGGAAACTCAATGTCAGCAGTGGAACACTATGCACAGAGTTTCCGAAGGTCACTGTATGCTTCCAAAGGAAAGCCAGAAGGAATGTAGCAACGATGCCCAATCCTACAATGCCGTAGATGACCGGCCGCTCATCGAGCACCCCTGGGCGGAAGCGGTGCATCAGCGTGATGAAGAGAGGGCCTATGTTGGCCATTTGGATGAGGACTGTGAGGTAGGAGGGCAGCAACCAGTGCTCTGGGATATCATTTACGATCAAGGGGAGCTCCACCCACATCCCATTGATGGCCACCCAGGAGCCCATTCCAAACAGACACGCCAGCACGTGAGTCAGCAGCGACATGATGCAAGCAGAAGTGAGCAAATGATGACCTACAGAATCTGAAACATAGAGACACAGCATAAGCGCGACTGATTAGTGGCATTTAAAAGAACAGTCATTAAACCTTCAGGCAAAGAAATGTTTATGTGTATTTTGCATGCATTTGATGGATTATTGCTTTATTGCATTTATGTACAAATGAGCTTCAATGAAGTGAGTTGTAGAGTGTATCTTTTTTAACTGCAATTAGTTTAAGAGGCTTCATCGGTAGAGGTTGATTACAGTGGAGCTTTGAGCAAAGGTTGTCACTGATGTTCAGCATGTATGATGTTAGTCATGTTCATCGTGATTTAGGGTAACATTTACTTTTGAACAGTTTCTAAAGTTATCTTGTAGGGAACATGAATTTGTGCACTATATTTCATACCAATATATCAATTCCTGAGCCAAATAGTATATGAAAAGAAATAATACTCCATGGAAGTCTTTTTCTGATAGATTTCGAAACAACAAGTAAAAAAAAATTCTCTCTGAAACAAAGCCTTCAGATAAGGTGGCATAACTAAACAACAGCAAAAGGACAATGAGCTTTTTCGTCATCTTTATTTCATTGTTTCGACACAAAAGTTAATAGATGAGTTCTTCTATGGAAACAGCACATAGAACATTGGTGTCATAAGTTAATACTGTCCCCTTAAGCAGAAATAACCTTGAGAATCTTGTGAATTATTTTCAACCAGCCTCTGATATCCTCTAGGTCTCTGATATCCAACCAGGTTGATAAAGATTTATATTTCTCTTTATTGCTTCAGTAGCAATGCGTTCAAGAGTTTTTGTGCATGGACTTCCCATTTCAAATCCAAAAGATTTCAAATTGATTTAAAAATGTTTTTTTTTTCCTGGCAAGGCCTTAATACTCTGCAATTTTGCTGTAATAAGGGTCACATGTTAGAAGAATCTTTTATGACATCTTGGTCAAACTGTCTGCTTGTAAGCAAAAAAATTGGAAGGGCTGTGGGCAAAGAGAATACCAAAGAGAACACTTCTCTATCTCCCTGACAGCTATGTTCTCATGTTATCTGACAATCTTGGATCCACTTCATCGTCAGTTCGCCCAACTGTAAGAAATCTGGGTGTAACTTCATCGGACATTCAGTTATGATTAGCAGGTTGGTTGTCTTGTACAAACTTGTTTTTATCATCTGCAGAACATTGCCCATCTTAAATATCTGAAATGGAATTGAATTTACATGCCTGTATTTAATCACGCCTCGATTATTGTGATTCGTTAGTCCTTTGACTTTTGAGAGTTTTTCATGATCAGATGCCTCTCTGTGTTAGTGAACGACTATACCCATACATAACTACCAGGTCTCTGAGTTCAGCTGTTCAATGGTTGTTGTTGGTATCCAGGTCTAAGTTCAAGACAAAAGGAAACTGTTTGTGGTTCCCAAGTTATAGAGCTTGGTTCCTTTGGACTAAAGGGACCAGAGTTATTATGGTGTTGAGATGTGTTGCAAATGTGGCAAAAAGAAAAAAAAAGTACAAACATAAAGCAGTGACAAAATTGCATGCAAGAAGTGGAAGCTGATATTTCTGCAACTCATCCTGTTGCATTTGGTTTGATATTGAAATGAGCTGACAATTCCTTTGTTTAAGAAATGCGCCTCTTTTCTAAATCATCTGTAAAACTAAACACACCTATAAGCACTATTTGGGATTGCGCTTACACCCTGTTTTTGCCCATTTAGTAAATCTGGCCCAAGATCTTTGTACATGGATGATACCCTTAAAACGTTTGAGACGCACTGTGTAGGCTTGGTCTTATTTATCTTTATATATTACTAACATTTTAGTCATTGTATCTTATTTTATATTGTAAAGTGTCTTGTGATCTTTGTTCTTGAACAGCACTATATAAATAAACTTTACTTACTCTACTTCTACTTGGCAAGCCCATGGAGGTTCTAATCACTAACCCCTAATCTGGAATCCCTGTTTTTTGGGGATTTCAATATGCCGTCATATACTGTGTTACTATCCTGTTCACCCACTTAAATGAAATCATGCATCATTACAGCTTAATTTGCCATTTGATTACACTTTTTTAAAGTCACTGTTTCAAGTAGGAGCCATTGACCTTCACAGCATTTGTCTTTCTAAGCTTCTTCCATCCTTCTCACATGTGCAGTCTAGAAATGGATGCCTGACCTTTCGCACACTGACACGGTGCTCCCATAAAAACACCATGTGGTTCTGACATAAACATATTTATCAAAAAGAAATCATTGTTAAGTAACTTTAAAAATAATGTAAGTCTTGATAATGACTATGAACAATTAGTGCCAATCAATTAAAGATATAAGCATGTTTTACGTTTAGGGTTGGCTATATAACAAAAACGCAATATATTGTGTCAAACTTCTAAAATACACAAGATCATGTGAATCAGGAACGAGTAAGAATCTCTGGCTGTTACGTCAGGTTACCTTGATATAACTTCCTGGTCTTCCTAATCTTGATCTGCAATCTAAACTTAATTATCTGGTGCCTTTTGTAACCATTTTTATATACATTTTTTCATTTCTGTTACCTTTTAATGATGGAGGGAAGCAGATGGACTACAGCACAGAACAGATGGACTGAAAGACTTGAGGCTTTAGGATCTAAGATAACCAGGCAATTCAATCACCCTTACTTCCGTCATACATCATTTCTATGCTGCTGTAAGTACACAAAATCAATCATCCTACCTGTTTCAGAACAAGGAACAAGAAACCACTCTCCCCTGGCTTCTCTCCTTCCAAAAACCTTCACTCTTGGCTGATTCGACCTTTTTTTTTGTTACATCTGCCGCAAATGTGTGTGTTTTTATGCCCTCCCCTTTTCTAACCTCTCTACACACACATACAGGCTTGCATTCTGCTTCCGTTTTCCTCTGCACTTGCCAGGGGAGGGACTGCACAGGCGCACATGTCCTCTACCACCATGAGTGAGGTCGGTTTCAAAACCAGGCAGCCATGTGCTCGCTCTGTGTTTCAGGGAGCTTAGGAAAAGAGAGCCGGTGGAGGGGGAGGTGTCAATAAGAACTCCTCCCTTTCCTGTTTCCTCCTCCAACCAGCTTGGGACTTTATGGTCTCCCCTCCTTTAAACACACAGGCAGCAGAGTGAGTAGGAAGGTTACGGCTGCCTTTGGATTCACAGTCAGTAGAGTTATAGTTTGTAGTATACAGTTAACTCCATGCAGCTGGGGCTTCATTCTTCTGCTCTCTAATTTCTAATGCTTTCACTGTATGACTATGGATTATGGATGACTGTTTCACAGTCATAGATGGTGTAGATGCAGTGATTCATCTAAGCAGACCAGTTTGTCAAGTTCAGCATGACATGGCACTTTAGCAGCCAAAACCTTCACTCTTGGCATATATAATTTGAATATATGGAAAGACTGCTAAAATAGGAACGGGCCAAATGAAGTA